ACGTAACTGATGTGTAGTGGTGCGCTCACTGAAATCAGTGGGTGTCGAATGCAATGGTTCGTGTCTGTCTCTACCATCATCCAATGCAAACTGCATTTTAGAGGTAGCTCCTGGAGTGTCATTAACAAAGGTTTTCTCTAAGCTAAGTAAACCTCTCCCTCTTCCAACAGGGGATGAAAATACATCATATGTTTTTTTATTTTTCTCTGCCATAGTATATAAAACAAAACACAGAAAACAATCTTGCTATAAAAACATCCCTTAACAAATAGTAAATATGCAGGAGGCAGCAAAGACTTTTTTTTTTTAGGTTATTAACCTGAAACCTTGTGATCCAGTTTTTTGCTTAGAAACAGTTATATACAGTTGCAGAATAGCAACCAAAATGGAGCCTGACAGAACCCACTAATCCACCAACTTGAGCATTCAATGTTCCAAGCACACAGCAGAACCTCGGTGATCGGCAGCGGCTGATCTAGGCATCCGGGTCACGGCACCAGATGTAGCGGTTGGCAACAGGAAGTCAATCACACCGGAATCAGGATTCAGGATAATTTTATTCCTGTTCAAAACAAGAACATTTTAAACAAAGCAGCTCCTGGGCTCCGGATTCTCCACAAACACCCTCTCCCCAGCGCAGCTTGGCGCGAACTGACACAGAAATGCATTAAACAAAACCAAAATTCTCTGATGTTCACTAATAAAATAAATCTACAGTCATACAAAACAATTAAAATATAACTTAAACAGAAATAATCTGCCCTATAATTACAATCTTCCACCATAACATAGAAATATACTAAATAGATTAATTTCACATCCAAATAAAATTTGAAACACACATACCTGTTCAAAACAAGAACATTTTAAACAAAGCAGCTCCTGGGCTCCGGATTCTCCACAAACACCCTAACCAACCAAAAGAAAAAAAATAAATTAAAAAAAATAACCAGTTGATACAGAAAACTTGATGGGTGTCACCAATGTGGGAGACAAATGCCCAGCATAGTGCTGCGCTAAACATGAACGGTTAAANCCATTTGCTTGTGGGCTTGCATTTAAAGACACTAGCAAGGTTGGGGTCTGGGCAATTTCTGACAAACATCATGGCAATTTCTGAGTCCATGTTGTCCATTTTACCCCCCTGGGACTTTAGATGCCTGTCTGCCACTTCTGCAGCAGTGTTTAATCTGATCCAATAGTCAACAGGCGTTTCCTTAGCTTTCGGCTGGGTGGCGTAGAAATCGGCCAAAGGTAGACACGAGCCAGGAGTATCACTGAAGTAGCGCCTCAGAATGTTGTATATTGTCTCTGGTGCTACTGGGGTGTTGCCGGTTGAGCTACTCTTCAGGCCCACTTTGACAATACTTTTAGCTTTGCCACAGAGATGGTTTAAAACTTCCTCTGCTTGTTCACAAGGTGGGAGGTCTCGTTTCTGTAGGTACACTTCAACTGTGTCTATCCACTCATGAATGGAGTACTTGTCTGTGCCATCACCACGAAACATGGATGGGTCCTTAATATCAGGTCTGACTATCAGACTTATTTTGGAGGTGTCAGCAGTTGCTGTGAATGATTCAGCTCTAGATGATTTATTGGGAGGAACCTGTGAGCTAAGAGCTGGCTGGCAGGCTAGGAGCCGGCTAGCTATGGATTCACCGATTTGACTTCCTAATTCTCCAATAAGTTCACGTAACTGATGTGTAGTGGTGCGCTCACTGAAATCAGTGGGTGTCGAATGCAATGGTTCGTGTCTGTCTCTACCATCATCCAATGCAAACTGCATTTTAGAGGTAGCTCCTGGAGTGTCATTAACAAAGGTTTTCTCTGGGCTAAGTAAACCTCTCCCTCTTCCAACAGGGGATGAAAATACATCATATGTTTTTTTTTATTTTTCTCTGCCATAGTATATAAAACAAAACACAGAAAACAATATTGCTATAAAAACGTCCCTTAACAAAAAGTAAATATGCAGGAGGCAGTAGATACTTTTTTTTTAGATTATCAACCTGAAACCTTGTGATCCAGTTTTTTGCTTAGAAACAGTTATATACAGTTGCAGAATAGCAACCAAAATGGAGCCTGACAGAACCCACTAATCCACCAACTTGAGCATTCAATGTTCCAAGCACACAGCAGAACCTCGGTGATCGGCAGCGGCTGATCTAGGCATCCGGGTCACGGCACCAGATGTAGTGGTTGGGAACAGGAAGTCACAATCACACCGGAATCAGGATAATTTTATTCCTGTTCAAAACAAGAACATTTTAAACAAAGCAGCTCCTGGGCTCCGGATTCTCCACAAACACCCTCTCCCCAGCGCAGCTTGGCGCGAACTGACACAGAAATGCATTAAACAAAACCAAAATTTTCTGAGGTTCATTAATAAAATAAATCTACAGTCATACAAAACAATTAAAACAAAACCTAAACAGAAATAATCTGCCCTATAATTACAATCTTCCACCATAACATAGAAATATACTAAATAGATTAATTTCACATCCAAATAAAAT